TGGGCCTAAAGGCCTAAGTTCAATCCCGGCCAGGGAGCTAACCTCTCCTGTTTTGCCCATTGTTCCTCTTAACAGTATATTTCAGTAGATCTGCCTGTTCTGCTCTCCCATTCTGGTGAATCCTCTCACCCCCAACACCTCTACCTCATTTCTTCTACACAAAATAAATAAAATAAAAATCTTACAATAAAGAAATAATTATTTAAAAAGAACTTAGTACTATTTATTATAAAATAAAAATGTGTTAAAGATTTATTACATTTAGGGCCTCCCCGGTGGCGCAGCGGTTGAGCGCTGGGTTGAGAAGCTGCCCGCAGCCTCTGCAGCGCCGGTTCGATCCCCGCTGCTCCCCCGGCCACCAGAGGAGGGTCCCACATGGCGCGCAGACCTCTCCTGCCGCCGCTGCTCCCCTCAGCAGTGTGCTTCGGTCCTTCTGCCTGCTCTGCTCCCCGCTCTGGCTCTGGTGAATTCTCTCGCCCTCCCGCGCTTCTGACTGTACCCAGTGCATGTGTAACCAAACAGACAAACAAACAAATAAATAAATAAAGCATGCCTCCTTTAAAAAAAAAAAATAAATAAATAATAAAAAAGATTTATTACATTTAAGAATGACTTTCTTTTTTTACATAATTAAAGAACAGTTTATTTAACTTGCTTGGTATGGCTACCTTCAAAAATGATTTTTTTAATTTTATACATTTTTTACATCATTTTTCATTTTTGCACAATGTATGCATTTTCATCTTGGTTATAGTCCTCATACAATTCCCACCACCCTTGTTTTGATCTTACTCCCTTCTCCCCCCAGGTAGTGTGTCTCTGGTTTATAGTTGCTTGTTGATTTTTACTTTATTATAATTAGTCTTTTTCCTGGTCCCTTATCTAGGTTTTCTAAATTACTGCTATGAGTGAAATCATCCAGTATTTTTCTTTTTCTTTCTGGCTTATTTTGCTGAGCATGATCCCTTCCAGCTCCATCCATGTTGCTGCAAATGGCATGAGTTTATATTTTTTGATTGCTGAGTAATAGCCCATTGTGTATATGTACCACATCTTCTTGATCCAGTCATCTATTTTGGAGCATTTGGGTTGTTTTCATAGCTTACCTATAGTAAATAGTGCTGCTATAAACATAGGTGTGCAGGTGCCCTTTTGAATTCATGTTTCTGTGTCCTTTGGGTAAATACCTAGGAGTGAAATTGCTGGATCATATGGAAGCTCCATCTTTAGCAGACTGAGGAATCTCCACACAGCTCTCCACAGTGGTTAGACCAGTTTGCACTCCCACCAGCAGTGCAGGAGAGTTTCTTTTTCTCCACATTCTCACCAAATGACTTCTGTTTAAAGGAAGGAATTAAATCCATAAATATTGCTGAATTTGCTGTTTTCCTTGAATTTGTCCAGATTCAGTGATAAATAATCATCAAACATGATCTTATTTATTTAGCAATAAACATATTTCATGTTGAAATTGTCAGAGTATTAAATAACTTTCTTGAATATCATAATTCATACCAGAGCAATGGCATTGATATTTGCACTGTTTTACAAAAAGCAATGATGGATAAAACTACTTGTATTATGAATCAAGGCAATAGCACTGACTCTAGTCGGCATTGTATGTCTCTGCTAAATACTTGCAGAAAAACAAGCCAGTTATCCTTAAAATACCTTAATAAAGCATCAAAAAAAAATTAATTTTATTACATTTTGGTCCATGAGAACACATGTTAAAATTCTTGATAACTTAGTTATAATACTCACTACTTACCCACAGGGAAATATTCTAAAGACTACCAATAAATGCCTGAAACAGGGATAATAATGAGCCCTACATATACTGTTTTTTCCTACACGTACATATCTGTAATAAAATTTAATCTATAAATTGGGCACATTAAGAGATTAACAACAATAACTAATAATAACATAGGACAAATATAATAAAAATATTGTAATAAAATCTGTGTGACCATCCATATTTCACTGCTCCAAAATATCTTATTCTATCTAACATTCTAGGAGCACAGTTGATTCTGGGCAATTGAAAACAAGAAAAGGGAGGGAGGGAGGGAGGGAGGGAGGTAGGGAGAGGGAGAGAGGAGGGGGGAGGGAGGGAAGGAGGGAGGAAGGAAGGGGGCACTATAGAAAAAAGAGAAGAATAAGCTAACTTACCTACAGAAAAGGGGTTAGTATATTAGCAAATCAATTCATAATATATGAAAGAATTAACAATGTCATTGGATTTATTTATGTGAAATCAAGGTTGGTTCGACTATAAATTTCCTATCAAAGGTAGATTTCATATGGATTTTGAAGCATTTGACACAATTCAACACCCATATGATAGAAACTTTCAGTAGGGGGGAAGTTCCTCTCAAAAAAATGCATATAACACTATTCATAATGAAAAAAGAATTAATTTTCTCCCTAAGTTGGAAAAACAAAGATAGACATTCTTATTACTTGTATTCGACATAGTACTGGAAATTCTAGTCAGTGCAGTAAGACCAGTGAAGAAAATAAAAGGCATACAGGTGAGAAGGAAACAAATATCTCCCTAGTTACAGGGGACATAATTTTCTAAATAAAAATTCAAGGAATCTACCAAAAACAAACAACAAAACTTCCTAGAACTTATAAGTAAGTTTTAGTAGAATTGTAAGATATAAGATAAATACAAAACAAAGACTATATTTCTTTATATTATTAATGGACACTAATATTAAAATTTAATGCCACTTATATTTTCTCAAAATAAGAATAAATTCTTAGGTGTATTCTACACATACACATAGGATATACATGCAGAAAACTACAAAAATGTTAATGAAAGAAAAAAAGGAAACTTAGATAAATGGAGGACACTGTTTATGGGCTGGAAGACTCAATTATTAATAAAGATATCAGTTCTTACACACAAGGTTATCCTGTTAACCAAGATAAGTAATCAGACTATAATGTATTAGGAAAATGTTTGATGACCAGAATCATGACTTGGGCCAATGACAAAAGGGCAGTCTCAAGGTATTTTCCAACAGGATCAGGATATAAGGGGGTTTTAAGGCTCAACTACTAGTTAAGTGGCCATAATTGGTAGGCAAAAATATCCAGGCAGAAGGTGGGGAATCTGTTATAACGATCAGCAGGTGGTCTCTTGCTTTTTTCTTTTTCTTTTTAAAGATTTATTATTTATGCAAACAAGAACTGGGGTACAGGCCTGAGGTGCGGGGAGTGAGAGGATTCACCAGAGACAGAGTGGGTAACAGAACAGGCAGATTGACGAAGTACACTGCTGAGGGAGCAGTGGGCAAGTCAGGAGAGGTCTGCTGGGCCATGTGGGTCCTCCTCCTGGGCCAGGGATTGAACCTGTGCTGCAGTGGCTGCGGGTAGCTTCAGAGTGCTGTGTCTTAACCCCTTGCACCACCAGTTTACATACTGTACTTCATTTATATAAAGTAGTTGAAATGACAAGGTTCTATCGATGGAGAACAGATTAGTAGTTGCCAGAGGTTAAGAAGGATGTGGTGACTGGAATCAGGAGGGTTGGCTACAAAAGGGCAAAATGAAAGATCTTAGTGGTGACAGAAATGCTGTTTTGACTGTCTCACTATCAGTAATCTGGCCGAGATACTGTACTATATATAGTTTAGCAAAATGTTATTATTGGGGGAAACTGGGTAAAAGACACAACATCTCTAAGTGCTATATTTTATGATTCCATGTGAATCTAATTTTCTCAATTTTTCTAATTTAATTGAAAATGGGTTAATTTTCAATGGGTTAAGCATCAGATGGGTTAATCAGATGGGTTAATTCTCTTCCACTTATCCTAGTTTCAATTATTCTTTAGAATCAAACCTCTTATTTCAACCACCTTTTTCTCAACAGATACCACCACAACAACTAACATTACAGGCACTTGTTATGTGACAAAGAACTTTATGTGCTAAGAATTTTATGTGCATTAACTTATTTCATTCTCCTAAGATAACTTTTAATTCTACTTTCTCAGGACTACAGTCCCAGACACCACCCTCTCTACTTTATCGTCATCCATTCACTCCATTTTTTTCTTATCTTAGTAATGAAGAGATCTCCATTTCCCAGATCAGGTCAATCCTTTCATTTAAGCACGGAATCCTATCTTCCCAGGACCTTAACTCCATCCAATATCCTCTTTACTATATTTTAAACCCCTCCCTTCCTATTAGTTACATTCTGTCCGAACTGTTCAAATCTCCTATCACTCAAAAGCTTCTCTCACCTTAGTATCAGCCATTCTCACTACCCTTTGAGAAGCCATCCTAAACATCCTGCTCCTTCTCCATGAAAGCCTGACCTCTTCCCAGCACTTGACACCACTATCGATCGCTTTAAAATCCTCTCTCCTTTAGGCTTCTCTGACATCTTGACCCTGTGAAAGTTGAGGTAAGTGACACTGGTGACCTAAAAGGGAGGAAACCAACTATAATAAAGGGGGTTGAGAATGGCTGAGGAGGCAAGTGAAGACTGTTACATTTTATTAGCACCACGCTCTAACCAACTGAGCAGCCCTGACTGTTACATTTTCAGGGGGGTCTTGGGAGACCAGAGAAGGAGCTACACTGGGCATTAAAACAAAATGACCGTGATTTTTACTCTCTTTCCCATCATTTTCACTCTTTCCTGCCCGGGTCTTCTGAGAGGCTGCAGAAACTCAAGGAAAAACTAGAAGGTAATCTAGTCATACTGAATCTTTGTCACACTGAATTTGTCATACTTGATCTTTGTCATACTGAATTCCAAGCAACAGCCAGCGGGCGCGGCCGGGTGCAGCGAAAAAGGCGTGCTCTGCCGGCCGTGCAGACCTGTCGCGGGCGGGATGGAGGCAGCCCTTTAGTTGCCTGCGGAACCCAGGAGCTGGGCCGCAGTTGTACCTCCGCGCGGGGCCGCTGGGCGGCGGACGCGTGCGCGCTTGCGCGGCTGCGCTTCCGGCCCCGGCCTTGCGAGGTCCGGAACTGGGCGCGGGGAATCCTGTTACTGGTCCGGACCTTGACAGCAGCTGCTCCCCGAAGATCCCAAGGTCGGCGCGGAACACGCACGAGGCGGTTGGAGGCTGGCGGAGGACCCAGGCCGCAGCGGCGAACGGAGGAGAGCTAGACCGGCCTGGCTGGCGGTGCCATTTGCTCTGTGCATCCACTATCCGGCCCCGGCCAGAGCTGACAAAGGGCGTGGGTGTCGGGTGGGGGATAGAGGAAGGATCTAGGTTAAATAAATTTTTCTGCAGATTCAGTGCCATTAAGTCCTGCGAGCCCATACTGTTTAAAAAAAAAAAAATGAAGAAATTAAGGCTTAAGGAACTAGAGAGTCGCCTGCAACAAGTAGATGGATTCGAAAAGCCCAAACTACTTCTAGAACAGTATCCGACCAGGCCTCACATTGCAGGTAGGGCGGCTGGTGATCGCGCCCTTGTTTGGCAAGTTCGTCCTAACACAGCGTGATGAAATAGTTTTTTGGATATAAAGAACGTCTAGAGGATTCTGCTCTAAAGCTACTGATCATGTTAGCGGCACTGACTTTATATGCATTAACTCATTTCATTCTAAAGATAACTTGACTCCATAACTAAAGAGACTCTCTCTTCCTTCCACTACCCACCCCCCACACAGATAGTTTGGTTTTCTTCATACTCCTTACCACTTATCAGACATTTTTAATGTATTTGTCTCTTTCACTACACTATAAACTCCCTGAGGGCAAAGAATTTGTTGATTTTTGTCATACTGAATTCCCACTGCCTAAGAGTTTCCAGTACTATGAGGAGCTCAGTAAATATTTGCTAAATGAGGATCATTTTTACTGCAGTTGTCAGTGGAAAGATTCCCATGCTATACTGCTCCCTAAAATGACTACTAGAGTTTGTACCTGAGGGACTGGGTTTAACAAATTCACTGTAGATGCTATAAAAGATAAGAATGAATTTCAACAATCTGAAGATCAGCAGTATTCCTTAATGTGAAAAGTAAAGGGGAGAACATGGGGAGAAATATTTAATAAATTGTCAGATTCACTGGGGAATCTTAGAAAATTTAATTTATTGGGAACACAGTGTAAGGAAGAATTCCTTTCCACTCCAACAAAGTTCTGTTTCTAAGTTTTGTTTCTTTTTCTGCCAATGAAAATCAAGGGAAATACATGCATACCTACATTTAACTGCAACATATTGTCATAAATTCAACCAAAATTGGCACAAAACGAAGATCCATTAGTGATTACTTCTTTAGTGTGTTCTGACTAAAGGGTTCTCTTAGTGGAGTTCAATTTCTTTTTTACCTAAGAGTGGCTTCACACCCAGTATGCAACATGTACATGTGTGTGCTCATTCTTTGAAATACCAGCTTCAAAGTCACTAACACCTGCAGCAGTAATCAGGACAGCACAGTCAGCCTGAGCTGTCACTATAATTGTGTATTGATAAATGTTCTGGATTCTGAAGTATCAATGATTGCCAGTAGCCCTTGCTGGGTTCAGATATCCACAGTGGTGTTACTCTTGCTTTACTTTCAGTTTACTTTAGACTTGTGTATTTGAAAGATCCCTTTCTGATCTCAGCAGCTTCTATCCTGTTCATTTGTTTTTTAGTATCAGATCTTATTAGATTATGAATAAGTATCTGTAAATTATTAATATAATGTCTGCATATATGTATCTTAAAGGCTATATAGTGTGGTTGTAGGTCTCTTTCTTTGATCTTCTAGCTTGAACTTACGGTAACTCTGCTCCAGTGGCAAACTGGTATATATGTTCTGTGTGATTTTAAGGTTAATATTTGTTTAATATTAGTGGTTCCTAGCTTTACAGACTTCACAGGCCAGTAAAATTCTAAAAAGTAAAATTTTGGAGGCTGATAACAAATTGCCAAGAACATATTTTGACAAGGAAAAATAATTTTAAACCTATTTATACTTACAATCATTTCATAAAAATATTTCAATATCAAACAAAGATCTTATTTTTGTCATTTTACCTCAAAGTTTTGTTATTCTTGGCATTGTCGGCAGCTACTAGTTTTGGGGAACCTCTGGTAAGTATTACCCACCTTTGTGGGGCTTCTTATTACACACTAATTGTTATAACTTAATTGTTTTTAAATAACCTGGAACATCAATTGGAGGAGGATTAAATACAAGAAGCTGTTTTAGAATAATTGCATTTTTGTCCTCGGCTTCCTTACTTATTCCCTAATTTTTTTTTTTGTCTTTTAGCATGTATGCTTTATACAATCCATAACACATATGATGACATTGAACATAAAATGGTTGCAGATCTAGGATGTGGTTGTGGAGTGCTTAGCATCGGAACTGCAATGTTAGGAGCAGGGTAGGTGATCCAGTATATATATATATATATATATATATATATACTTGTTGGGTATGGGGTGGTTATAATAAGCATAGATATATTATATTCACGGGATTCTACAGTATGAGATGAGAGCAAAAAGCTGGCACTGAGTGCATTTTAAATGGACAAAACAAACTACTAAAAGTCAAAACTAGTAACAGAAGCAGTCAGATGCCTACCTATTATACAGACTGAGTTTCCACCCTTCTAGATTGAGAGGTCACTCTTTTGAAAGGCAATATATAGCATGGAGACAGTGGCTCTGGCAGTTCAGCAACCTAAGGATCTGACTCCAGGAGAGTGCTATGGTTCCATAGCCCCAGGTCCCTACTCTAAACAAGCACATCCCCAGTGAGCCATGTTTTCCTCATGATGAGCATTCCCACCATAACCAGACAGTAACCAGCAACCTTGCCGATCTTATCTGGATTCATGTGTTCTGGGCTCTGATGCTGCTTCCTGACAGAGATGCCCCTCTTGCAAGGACCAGAGGAGCTGTTACAGTTTTGTAACATACTGAGTTGCAGGAAAATAGTTAATTGTAATAAATGAATTGTATGTAAAAATCTGTGAAAAAAAAAGACAGCATTTAATTGAATTAAAAAGGTTATTGTTTTGACATGGGGCTACAAGTAATCATTCTGTGTTTTGTATTTATAGGTTATGTGTTGGATTTGACATAGATGAAGATGCATTGGAAATATTTAATAGGAATGTGGAAGAGTTTGAGTTAACAAATGTTGACATGATTCAGTGTGATGTGTGCTCCTTATCTAACAAAATGTCCAAGTCATTTGACACAGTAATTATGAATCCTCCCTTTGGAACCAAAAATATAAAGGTTAGTAATAATCAGGTATACTGGTATATTTGTATGTTTTTTAATTTTTCATGTTTTCTATTTATTGCTATCTATTTGATGAGATATCTTCATCATACTGCTTCCCTTTTTTTAATTTATTTTGAGGTAACATTGGTTTACATCACTGTATATGATTTAGAGGAATAGGTTCATACCTCCTCAGATGTGTATCACCACACCCCAGAGCACCCATATCACTTTATCATGTACCACTGGAACTCTTCTCCACCCCTCACACCACAGTAGCAACCTTAATTCTGCAGTCATTTTATTTTGGTTTAGTTTTGTTAGTTTTCTTTGTTTTGTTTTGCGTGAGTGAAATCATCTGACATTTTTCTTTCTCACTGTGGTTTATTTCACTAAGCATAATCCCCTGCATTTCCATCCATGTTGTAAATGATAGGAGTTCATCTTGTTTTATAGCTGAATAGTATTCTATTGTGTATATGCATCACATCTTAATCCAGTCATACGTCACTGGGCATTTGAGTTACTTCTATAACTTGGCAATTGTAAGTAGTGCTGCAATGAACACAGGAGTAAATATATCCCTTCAAATTGTGCTTTTACATTCTTTGGATAAATGCCACATAGTGGAATTGCTGGATCATATGGTAGATCTATTTTTAATATTTTGAGACACCTCCATACTTCCTTCCATACTGACAAAAAGTTGACAGTAAGTTCAACATTTTTCATGTGCCCATAGGCCATTTGTAGGTCTTCTTTAAATAAGTGTCTGTTTAGCTCCTCTGCCCATTTTTGATTGTGTTCTTTGTTGTCTTTTTATTGCGTTGTATGAATTCTTTGTAGGTATTGGATATTAGCCCCCTGTCCTATATATGATGTGCAAATATTTTCTCACATACCTACAGTGTCCTTTGTTTTGCTGATAGTTTATTTCACAGTGCTTTTTAGATTGTTTATTTTTGTTCCTATTTTCCTTGATGTTAGAGTCCAGTCCCCAAAGACATCCCTGAAGCCAATGTTGTAGAGTGTTTGCCTATGTTTCTTCTGTGTATTTAATGATTTTTTTAAAAAGATTTATTTTTATGTATTTATGCATACAAGAGCTGGTGTATAGGCCAGAGTGTAGGGGCATAGGACAGAGAGGATTCATGAGAGACAGAACAGGGAGCAGTACAGGTGGACTGACTGAAATACATTGCTGAGGGGAGCAGTGGGTGAGGCAAGAGGGGTCTGCTGTGCCATGTAGTAGCTCCCTGGCCTGGGATCCATAGCTTCATAGTGCTGAGACTTACCCCTTGTGCCACCAGGGAGGTCCGTACCTAATACTTTTTGATGCTAATGTAAATGGGATTGTTTTCTTGACTTCCTCCTCTTCTGGGTCAGTATTTGCATGTAAGAATGCCATTGACTTTTGAATACAGATTTTTTAGCATGTCACTTTACTGTATTTTTGTTTCTAATATTTTTTTGTAGAGTATGAGCAAACCATTGCATCAGTTTTCTTTCTTGTGATAGCCTTATCTACTTTAGGTAACAGTATTGTTGGCTCCTAGAATACGTTTGAGAGCATTCCATCTTCCTCAGTTTTTGGGAAGAGTTTGAGAAGGATAGGTATTAGTTCCTCTTTGAAACTTTGAAGAACTCACTGGTGAAACTATCTGGTCCTGGGCTTTTGTTTTTGGGGAGATTTTTTATTACTGTCTCAGTTTCCTTGCTTGTGATTGGTCTGTTCAGGTTCTCTATTTCTTCTTGATTCAGTCTTGGAAGGTTGTATGTAGAAGCAAATTTTAAAACTATTTTCTCATTGATTGGGTTAATGATCTTATGACTGTTCATTAAATAAATCAGTTTCTTTACTGTAAAGTTTTATAATTTTAGCTTAAATATAAAGTGCATTAATTGAATCACTAATTAATGGTTAATAGGAGAAATCATTAGTTGAATTGCTAGGGAATGGAATTAAAAATGTTTTTTCACTAATTTGTACTGAGTATTCTTTTTTCTTAATTTATTGTTTATATACCATCTGCTTACAAGAATGATTTACCTAACACTTATGAATGGTTATAAGTACTACATACATTTTATACTTTTAAAACCTCTATTAATGCTTTAACACACTGAGGATTTCAATATATGATCATCAGTAACAGAGACTCATTGTGGCTATTAATTTTGTGTGTGCTGTGAACAAGGAGGATAGTAAGAGGAGAAAAGACATAGTTTAAAGTCCTTCCTCTACCCCCTGCTATGATTCTGATTATTGCTCTACTTGTTTCCTTCTCCTATCTTTGAAAGTCACTAATTTGGAATATAAAATTTTTACTTTAGCCTTATTTAACCAGATGCTATAATTCTGGTTTTAGTCTATCAACCTTAAAAGATTTTATTGAGATATGTGTACCCAATCTTGTTGCACAAAGAATTTGGAATGCTCTTTTGAGTTTGAAAAAAAATATTTCTAAATACCCTAGTATTCATTTAATCTTGTATTTGATAGCAGGTGAATGAGGAGTTTTTTTCCTACTCTCAATAGGAACAGATATGGCTTTTTCTGAAGATTGCATTGGAAATGGCAAGAACAGCAGTATATTCTTTACACAAATCCTCAACTAGAGAAGTAAGTTCAAATCAGCATGCTGTTCTTTGTCACTTATTTTTTTTTAAATATGCAATTAGATTTTTTTTTTTTTTATAGAGGCATGTTTTTTTATTTTTTTTTATTTGTTTTTTTGTTTTGTTTTGTTTTATACTGCAATGCACTGGGTACAGTCAGAAACGCGGGAGGGTGAGAGAATTCACCAGAGCCAGAGTAGGGAGCAGAGCAGGCAGAAGGACGAAAGCACACTGCTGGGGGAGCAGCGGGCGGCAGGAGAGGTCTGCGCGCCATGTGGGACCCTCCCCAGTGCCGGGAAGCAGCCAGGGATCGAACCGGTGCCGCGGAGGCTGCGGGCAGCTTCGCAACCCAGCGCTCAACCGCTGCGCCACGGGAGGCCTCTTTGTCACTTATTTTTAATTTCAAGACAGTTTTTAAGGATTTGTTGTAAATACTAAGTATTAGGGTATCTCTTTCAACATTTGGCATTTAGGAACTGAATTTTCTAGCATTTAACTAGCTTTCTTCTCGCCTATATAACGTCTTTTTTAAAGATTCAGGCAGGGCAGAAGTGTGATATAACTAGGGTTACAATATGTCCTGGTTTGCCTGGGTAAGTCCCAATGTCTCTGTGTGGTCTGGTGTGCATAAGGGAGGAAGTAAGCCTTACTTTTTTAAAGAACATTGAGCTGGGAGCTAAACTGATTTGATCTCAGAGCCTACTTCTTCCATTATTCTTCTTGACAACATATAGCACATATAATCTCAACACTTCTGAGAGTGTAAGATTAGTCCAGGAGGTGGGAATGGTATTTTTTTTTTTTTTTTTTTAGTGTCAATATAGTAAGTGATCAAGAACAGACTGTGGTGCTAGACTCCCTGGGTTCAGAGTCAACTGCTGCTTCCCAGCTGTGTTATCTTTGTCAAGGTACTTGAACTTCTGTTTTGTCATCTCACTGTACTCATAAGGAACTAAGAGTACCATATATTTTATAGGGTTTATTCTGAGGATTAAATGAGTTAAAATTTACAAAGCACTTAGAAGAGCTTCTTGCATATGTACTTGCTATGTGTTAGCTACTATTTCTTTAACTCATACATTTATTAAAGAGATTTTAAAGTGGTTTTACAGGAAAAATATTTGTGTAAATTTAGTATACTGGAATCCATTTGGAAACGGTATGTTTGGATATATGGTAATCTGGTGAACCCATTTAAAGTAGAAAGTCAAGGTAAAAGTATACATACTGCTAACAATGAGGAGTGCATATAGATAAGCAGCAGAGCACAATATAATTTTACTGGCACAATATAATAAATCCGTGCTCAGGTTTGATGATTCACAAGGAAGTCTCACAGGAGCTTATAATTCTGCTCATTGCTGTTTTATATAGCTAGCTAAGGACACAGCAAAACAGCCAACCGGAAAGGTGAATGGGATGAAGTCTAGGTGAATCAGGTGCAAGCTTTCAAAGTCCTCTCCCAGTGGAAACATAGAGTGTACATAGTTTCCCAGCAGCTAATTTTGTAACAAAGCATGTGAAATGTTACCAACCTGGAAAACTCATTAAAGACCTGCTGCCAGGGTTTCTCTGAGGACTGATCAATGTACCTGGAACTTATGAAAATTCCAACTCCAGTAGCTAGACAGGTAGTGACAATAAAGTTTAAGCACAATGAGCCATCTTATCATTAAAGGGATCCCCAAATCTAAGTTCCATATTCTAGCCAAGGGCCAACGTTATAATAAGTAGA